TGCTCACAGGTTCCACTTCGTTTTTCACACAGATCTTTTTCTTCCATGGTTCAAAAATTCGCTCTCGCAGTAAGGTCTCTCGTAAGATTCTCGAGGCTGAACGGGATGGCGACACAACTGTTGTTTCAAGTCCTACTGAGGAAAAAAGCATGCAAGTGTGACAAATTCTTGGTTGTCATATCAAAACAGCCGTAATGTTTTCATGTAAAATCACGACCTGGCCCCTGTTAGATATATGTAAATTGCAACTCAAATGAAAGACTTCCTGTAGACAAAATGACATTTTCAAGCCGACTACTGCTGTTTTTCCTAATATACTTCGTCATACCAGCAATGAGTATACAGGCAGAACGTTAAGACTCGAAAAAGTCCAAAACTCTACACTTCAAGAGTTCCGATGGAGGATAGGTTCCTCCTAAAATGGGTACCCATAACCACCAAATCCAACATATAAAAGTAAGGTGTTTTCCTACTAACCATTCAGATTTATTTGATCCCACATCATATCCTTACTCATAACGTGTTTCTCCTCTGCAATCGTTTTCGCCGTCGTCGCTGCTTTAGCATCATCCATCTCTGCCATGCCCACTGACGAGGCATGTGGGTCTTGTACTAGAAATTATCAATACAGCGGCTGCGGTCGTGGCATATGCGTGAGTTTCAGTGGTTTATGTCTTGGATTTAACGATATGACTTACCGGCATGGAAGTACTACAATCACTGCACTTGACATGGTATGGTCCAATGCAAAGTTCAAACGGAGTTCCTGACGTCCATCATGCCAGAAAAGTCGAGATAGCACGGAAGTTGTAGTTCATCACGATAACAGTAGAGTTGCATCAGAAACCGCGTTGTATGAAATTCAGCTTAACTTGGAGTTGATCGTTGAAGTCAAAAAGGAGTGAGGATGATTGGAGAGCGACTGATTCAACCAAGGTCTCGGGCTCTAGCTCTGATGTCCGATGTCACGTAGTGGGCAACTACCGGACATGATTTTACAAGTTTGAAACAAACGGACTCCTTACTTATAATAGGGCCCGAAGTCAGGCAGGCCATGCATATCGAGTAACTTCAATTTTGAGACACTGAGCAGAGAAATCATTGATTTGATTGATGTGGCGAGGGGATCATACCTGTCCCACGTCTGGTCTGTTGTTTCTGATAACAAGTGCAGCAATGAAATTTCATTGAACTGAGCCTTTCACATCGAAGTAAACTGCCGAAACAAATCTTCGTGTCTGCACTTTACATCGCGGTGGAAGTATCATCCACACAACTGCAACCCGACACCATGATCATAGACCAGAGTCTGATGTTTTGCTTCTAACAAGTGCATCAGTGTACAACACAGGCGCTAACAGTGAAACAGTGACCAAACATTGGGTATGATGTTGCAGAGGGAAAACAAGCTTAGCTGATCTACTCGAAGCCTTCCACAACAACGTAAACCGCCAATCATTTTACCAAATCATTGGCGACTCACGTCGTGGTAGAAGTATGGTGGAGAGAGGCCGATAGCACCAAGGCCATTAGATCTGAGTCGTTCAGACACTGCGAATCGCGATGAGCAACTCAGTGAGAAGCGGGAACCGCAGAAAATTGTCACCTACCAATATGTGCCGGACGGAGTTTCAATACTGCACACCACTTTGGAGGTGCCGGGTGGTACAGCGCTGCTAGATACTTTCGTCAATTCTGCGCTAATCTAGCTCCCCACATCCTGCAATGCCGCATAATAATCCATTTGGCAGTTTCATTGCATCATCGAACTTACATAGACGACCTCATCCACACAATGCACATGATCCGAGTCTCAAAGTCATTACACCCCCCTCAATCATACAACAGCAGCACTCTCGTACATATCTACTAGTAAATAGTAATACTGTACTTGCTCCCTTACGCCGAATACTAACCGAGTCATTTGTGTGACTGCCGACTTGGGGTGCCGATCGCACAAGAAGGGATAGTCATGATGACCAGGCCAAGTACCTCCGTTTGGTTTTTTCCGTCATGCCAGCAAGGAGCATACAGATCGAGTGTCAAAACTGAAAAAATAAAATAAAACTCATGCTTTAAGCGTTCCGATGGCCCATGGGGGATAGGTTCTTCCTAAAATTTATGCATACCCATAAGTCTAACCATGAAGAACACGGCGCATAAAATCAAGGGCGTCTTCCTACTAACCTTTCAGATTTATTTGATCCCACATCACATCCTCACTCACAATGCGTTTCTATTCTGCAATTGTCTTTGCCGTCGTTGCCGCTTTAGCATCATCAGTCTCTGCTGCGCCCGCTGAGGAGAGCGCCCAATGTGGGTCTTGTACTACAAATTACGCATGCCGCGGCTGCGGTGAGGGTCTATGCGTGAGTTGTAATGGTTTTTGTCCTGAATTTAACAACGTGACTTACTGGCGTGGAAGTACTTCAATCATTGCATTTGACATGATACGGTCAAAAGCAACGCTCAGACGGAGTTCCTGACGTCCGTCATGCCAGAACATGTCGGAGCAGAAGTCGGGAGCAGAAATGTCAAGACAGCTTGAAAGTCGTAGTTCATCGTGGTAGCGGAAGCATAGGACCAAATTGTTACTGCAGCATCAGAAGCGGGGTTCTATGATATTCACTCTGACTTGGTGTTGATCGTTAATGTCATAACGACTCGGGGTGACTCACAAAGGTTTGGTGATGGGTTTTCTGGCGAAGGCGCACAGCGCTTTCCGGCCCCGGGGAAAAAGATGTAGCCTAAGAGAGTTGAGCTGGGACGGCGGGTGGGATCACCTTGCTGTGACTCAGTAGTTACAAATCTTTTCCTCAGGACCCAAATGGGTTGCTGTGTTGATTTTGGCGAAATGCGAGGCGTTGAATCAGACTTCAGGAGATGAAAATTGGGAGTGGAAAATGAAAACGAGCAGAGTGAGCTGCACAGCGACGAACAGTGATCGCGGCACGAAAGCAAGAGGTTCGATGCCGCGTCTCTTGTTCGCTCGTGCCTCGTTACATAATGGAGCGCCAAATCAATTTTAAGAGCACAAGGTAGATATGACGAGATTCAACTCGGTTCGCTGAGCAGAGAAATGAAAACTTATTGCAGCGAGACACACCTATGTTTTTTCTTCTGATAACAAGTCGCACGGCACAGGCACGAACAAACAAACAGCTCAAACCGGTACGACGCGCAGTGAGAAGACAAGTTTTATTAGACGGAGGTTTTCACAACGACGTAAACTGCTCGAAACAAGTATTAGTGTTGGCAACTTACGTTGTGGAAATAGCACCCACACCAGCCGATATTATCACATATTACTGAATCTGATATTTTGTTTCTGATAAAAAGTACATCGGCGCACGACACAGGCGCTCACGAAAGCATTCAAGTATCTGGTGGGACGTTGCGGTGAGAAGGCAAGTTGATCTACTCGAGGCCTTCTACAACTACATAAACCGCCAACAACTTTGCCAAATCGTTGGCGGCTTACGTCGTGGTAGAAAGATGATGGAGAGAAGCCGATAGCACCAAGGCCACTAGATTTACGTCGTTCAAACACTGCGATGTGCGCCTCGAAGGATGAAAAACACACATCTCGAGACGTGCAACGCGGTGAGAAGCGTGGGTGTGTGGAACCAGGAATGGAGAATTTGAGTACAATAACCATCATAATGAAAGATGAGGGCGATAGAGCGGAGTTTATGATGACCGCTTTATGCGCTGGCAGCTGGATAGAATTTCAGAATAAGGTTGTTTCGAAGACATAGACGACGACGACGACGATGAAATTAATGATCGCGACGAGACTGAGCCGATGAAAAACATACGATATGTGGGATAGGTAGATGATTGGAGTGGAAGTACTCGTGCTTGCAGTGCACGTATTTGAGAAAGGAAGTGTCAAGTTGATGTAGTGAAAACCAGCTCAATTGACAGTTCATGTGACCCGCAGCTGAGAGTGAAGAAACAATGCGTGCAAACGAAGATCAACAATAAAATTTTTAAAGTCAGCGGTATTCATTATAGGCAAGTGTTGTTGTACGAAAAGAGGACAATGGCTAGAACGACAAAAAGCTCGAGAATGCTATTGTTTCTATTATTCGAGAGCTGGGATGGATATATACTAGACCTCACTCCAGCTTTTCATCCGCACTTCAGTTCACATACAACATGAATACACGTGAGTTAAGACTCTCTTGACTTCGAGGATCAAGTAGCTTAACCTCACTATATAGTTTTCGCTCGTGCATCATTGCAACGCAGTTCTCGTACTCGCACCAGAAAGAACTCAATATCAGACGCTAGCTGTCCGCCACCATCCTGCTCACATTCAACAACCCTCCAAATAATACCAGAGTGCTCAGAAAATGACTTCGAGTCACAACCGAAACCTTCCCCACGCGTCACCCTCTCTGCATTCACATTCTCCATCGACGATGCTTTGCTTATGCTCAATGACGCACCTCGTTCACCCGCTCTCTCTGCGTCCTCTTCTACAGATGACAGCAACTCAGAAATGCCCGCTACCCCAGGTACATCAGACGACGAAGACTTTACCGACCTACCTCTCCCGACTCCTCGTCTGAGACCCAAGCGCATCAGCATTCGTCCGCTGTGCATAACCAAGACCCGTTCTATCGTCGAGGACGTTTCAGAGATCACCGATCCTCACGAAGAGGAAGACGAGTATGATTTCTACACACGCCAATTCGAGGACTTCATCTCCCTATACTCGCCCTCTTCTGCCCCCATCTCTGCACCAGCACCCGCCCGCCCAGACTCTATCATCCTCTCGCCAGATGTAGTACCCCAGTTGCCTGTCGAAGTGCCTAGACCACGCGGACGTAGCCGTTTCTCAAAGGCCCTTCCACTCCTTCCTCTCCCTACCCCACCCCCAACGACTGTCCCACCCGTTCCACAGCTCCCAGTCTCAGTATCAACCATCCGAAGAAAACGTGTCATCCCACCCTTGCCCATGTACCCACCTCCCCCACCTCCAATCGAAACACGTCCCCCTCCTCGTATGGCTGTCCCCTCTGACATCGAAGACGATATCTTGTTCGAGGAAGAGCCTACTCGTCCAATCGTCATCGAACAAGTATGGTTCGACGACGAGGAAGATTCCATCTATTCCCAGCCTTCCTTCGTACCAGCCCAAAACATCCACCCCATCTCACCAACAGTTCCCGAACCATCCATGAACGAGGTGTACCTCCCCCGCGCAAGCACTGACTCTGATGCCCCTCGGTCGTCTCTCGATTCTTTTTCAAGCAGCCAGTCCCACTCCTCTTTTTCATCCTCAAGCTCGTCTGAAGAAGTGATCCCCATCTCCCCCTTCTCCTTCCCTCCCACTCCAAGACCTGAAACTCACCAACTCCGCAGTCGATGGAGCTGCTCCACGATATCCTCACTCGCTAGTGAACCTCCACGCACGATTCTAAGTCCATTGCGTGGGGTGTTTGCGTCGAGATCGAAGTTGAAGTCGGGGTTGGGATCAGGATCAAGGCGGGCACCTCCTCCCCTTCCGATCATGTCTTCGCCCCCCCGTCCTCGCGCATCACCCAGTTCATCACCATTACAAACGCGAACCAACACCCAATCCCAAACGCGCGCACAGAGTCCGTACAAAATGCCTCTAACGCGAATGGTATTCCCCGCAACGCCCTCCCCTCCCAGTACACCCACCCCCAGACACATCCGCCGCCAAAACTCGCGCTCATCGACGTCTTCTGGGTCGTCTGAAAGCGGGAGCTGTGAGAGCAGCGGCGGTGCGGGGTTGAGGAGGAAGCCGATTCCTGTTGAGATGTTTTTGAGGGCTTGATTGGTGGAGTGTGGGGTTTCAATTTTCGTGAATATTTTCTTCGGGATTTTGTTCTTTGTCGTTTTTGCTTTTGCTTTTACTTCTGTTGAATGTTTTCGATGTCTCTTTGCTCTCGTTAACGACGATGACGATTCGTAATTATTGTATCCGCATTATCATCATCTCCCGCTCGCTCATTCACGCATACTGATATTCATACTATAGCTGTACCCTCTATCTAGCATCTTTCTTTTCGTCGAGACGTCTTTCATTGATTTCTCTTGCATGTCTTTCCAATCTGAGCCTCTTACACGTTTCCTCGATCTCTGACACGTCTTCCGTCCCGTCACGTTTCTACACACTCTGTCTCTGTCTCCATAGCATAGTCCCCTTGTAGCCTAGTTCATACTACGATGAAATCTATTCAATGTTTTGATGTTTCCTGCAGGGTTTCTTAAGTCATTCATCTGAAGGCAGGGGTCACACCGTGGGAAAGAGTGACGCCTGTTACAATCAGTCCTCCGATCGTCCTCAACTCTCAATGCCCCATCTACTAAGTACTTAGTAGATTCTTGATTGTGTAGGAGTGTTCGAAGATAAGCTCCTGCAGAGTTAAAAATTTACACAGATGCTCAATATTAACATCGCTCACGGTCTGAAAAAGCAACTTGACCAAAGTTGCTCAGTCCGACCATGAGTCTTGACGAAGTATCGATGCGTTCTGGTCCGGAAGACTGTAGCCCTCAGGTAGGTGCGTTTTCAACTGTTTGATGTCGTGTGCATTTGGATAACCTGTAGGTCCATCGCTGGTGCATTGTGGCCAACGTACCTGGATAAGCACGACTGCAACCTCCTCGGGGTATGGTGATCCGTTCGGAACACCTTTCCGGATACTCAGCACCCCCTCCCATCCTTCCAAGGAGATACCTTGGAAGAGATGGATGCAGTGTCGTTGTTGAGACGAATCAAAAGTCAATGTTAAGCCCAGACATGCTTTTTGACGGCCATCGATATCGTGCAGTACACGCTGAGCCCGCCAGCCTTGCACTCTGGAGAGGGAGAAGATGCGCTCCTCGCTGGAAGAAAATGTCTACAACATGTGTGCTGCTGCTATGTACTCTCGTAATCTCTGACCCTATGCTACTCTTAAGTCCCTCCTTTGCTTCGCCTGACTCTGACATTGCTTTCCTGCTGACTCGGCGCTCGTCCTGACCTCGCTCTCTTGCTAGCCTCGTCTCTCTAGGCCCTTGGAGCAGCTTTCCTGCTCAGAGTCACATCGTGCCTATCTACGGTTGTTAAAAAAACAATCAAACATCTAAAGTCAAGATTGAGGTGTGTTTTTATTAGGACCATGGTGCATTGTACGATCTACAAGTTGGTCTACGGTGATTCAGCAAAAGCACGCTTTTCAATAAGATTTATTTTATGAACTTACACGTCATATTGAAATTTCCCAATCGAACGAAAATGACACCGGCTCCACCGATGTTTTCTTTACGGCGCGTTGATCAACTCTCCGAACCACTAGTAACTCACGCGTCAGTACCAACGGACATACTGTACCGATGTGAAAGCAGAAACACGACTCACGTGCAGATGGCGGAAATGACGTCCTATGCAAGTGAATCAGTGGCATGTCATCAAAGTTCAAACCCAGGAAAACTACTGTACTCACGCATTGCATATCGCAGTAGAAGCAGTCTGCGTCACTTTCGCAAGAGGAAGGACATTGAGGGGGGCTAGACGCGTCGGCCGGCATGGCAAAGACTGATGATGCTAAAGCAGCAATGACAGCGAGCATGAAACGCATTTTTTGACTTATGGGAAGATGATTCGGAAGGGAATGGTAGGAGAGCGGCGGGCTTTTATGTAGTGAATGTTATTTAAAATTTTCTTGCATACGTGGTTATGGGTTCAAATGGATGCATGTCTGCAATGCCAGCAGTTCTTGCCAGCTCAGGTATATTGACAATTTGATGTGGAGTCGAACTCATAAGCAGCTTTATAAACTACTGAATATTCGTGTGTTCTATCAGCTGTCGACTCGCTACCAAAAGCGCTCAACATCTCGCTGTTCTCTTGTTCCCTTGGCGTCAGATCGGTCTGTCTTGCGTTGAACTTGACCACCGCTGTCTTTCTGTTTATTTTTATTTTTGGCGAGTCAAAGCAGAAGTATGCATTTAAATGCGTCGCGGCGGGGTGGCGTTGATGTAGCTGTCACACCGTCCGCTCCTAAGCTAGGCTCGTATCTATGCGCTACATGGCGAACCCTCTGTGTTTATGAGCTTAGAAAGAGGTAAGTTGTAGAGAAGATACTTTCTTATTATCTGGACTGACTCTAAGGTAAAGTATGTGTACAGTATTTATACTATCGAACTCGAATCTTCGCTGATGCATGACAAATAGTTTGCGACTCGGCATTTTCCGTTAGTCAGCGTTTGCCCCTGCGCTCGCTTCCATGTCCGACCAACACCCTCTCCTCCTTCCAAGGAGATGTCTTGGAAGAGATGGATGCAGTATTATCGTTGAGATGAGTCAAAGTCAAAGTTAGGCCCGGGTATGTCTTTTGATATCGTGCGCACTGCGTACATATACCTTCGAATGTACAATCACAATCTACAGGCCCATCTATAAGATTCTACAAGTCCATCTATAATCTACAGCCACATCTATAATTCTGCGCTTGCCTACACAGTCACTGACACTGCGTCGTAGACTGATAATAGGTATATTTACGCATCACATCTAACATCTCCCAAACGACGTCAACTCCACTGATATTTTCCTGACGGCTCTACAAATCACTAATCACTCGTTTATCAGTTCCAACGGCCAATGTAAAAGCAGAAACACAATTCACTATGCAGAAAAAATATTCCTGCCATGCAGGTGAGTCAAGTTATCAAATCTAGGAAAACGGCTGATACTCACGCAAGCCCCCACAGGGCAGACCTGGCAATCTAGTTCACTATCGCAAAAGAAGGGACATTTTGCGGTGTTCGCGTCAATGGGCGTAGCGGAGATTGATGATGCTGCGACGGCGAGGATGATTGCAAGGGAGAAACGCATCGTGTGTGAGGATGTGGTATAGGATTTGAAGGGTTAGTAGGAAGACATCCTTACTTTTATATGCTGGATAACGAACGTTCTTTATCGTGTTAGGAGGAACCTGTCCACCGGAATCCTCTTATCAGCCTCGGGTCCAAGCTTTGAAGCTTGCCGCATTCAACTACATGATATCTGCAACGCCAGCAGGCAGGGTCTTTCGGCAATTTAGTCTAGAGCGCCCCTCCGCCGGTGAATGTTATCATCGAGTCCTAGTACCCCCATGCGTCATGATTGAAGAGAGGACATTTCGATCCCAGAATATCCGTCTCTGCGAACATCCAAACCCCATCTGCGCCAGCACAGCCATCGTTCCCATGCACATATATTATAGTAAATAGTTGATTCTTCTTCCTCGCCAGACCCTATTCCTCATACCCCTCGCCTCCAGATACCCCCAGCGTTTATGGACCAGCCACCACAGTCCTTAATCGAGGCACTTCAGGCTACCATTAACACGCGCTTAACGACGCTCGCTATCAAACTTCGTCCTTCGCCTCCATTCATAGCAAAGTTTTCTCCTCCTCCTACTCTTCAACATAGTACCAAATTTCGTGTGGTATCCGATGATTTGGCGAACAACCGGTCTTTATCTGCACAAAGAGGGATTGTGCTCTGCTGAAGGTTGTCTTTCCTTTTACTAATGCTCGATTTCTTTAATTACAGTGAACGTGAACAGTGAGTCCGTGTTGTCACCGTTTTTTGTGTGTATGCCTGATGGTGTAGACTGGCATTTTCGGTGGCATCGGAGAATACCACCAAACTGAGAGCGTCCAGCGCATTACTCCGTCCGATATCAGATATTCATGATACCAAGCGCTGTTTCAAGCTGGGTAACTTGATGCTGTCCTCGTACCCAAGAAGGAAGGGTACGTTTTACTCGAGGCGCGAGTGTATTCGCTGATTGGCGCTAGTACGCCTTGCAGAGGGTGCAGCGCCATAGTTGGAGCACGCTGTTAGTTGACTTGTTGATATGTCTCATGCATAGTTGGCTGTTTTATAGTCGTCTGAACGACGAGGAGCTTGAATTTCTTGGGATACGCTAGAGCAACTTTACTGCAGCGCTTATAGTCATGACGAAGAATCCGACGCGTTCCGGAAGACTCGCAGATTATAGCTCGTGAGTGGGTGCGTTTTCAACCCTTTGATGTCGTGCACATTTAGACAACTTGTAGCTAGATCTATTTCACCCAAGGTGCCTGAGCAACCGCAACTGCAGCCGCCTCGCCGCATGAATCGAGGTGCTCACGGTGGGTATGGTAATCTGCTTGGAGCATCTTTCCAGATACACGGCACGTCCCTCTCCTTCCAAGGAGATGAGTAGGGGCCCCTAGGGGTGTAGGCAAGGCGACTGTAGTGAGCTGAGCAGCGTGAGAGAGCAGCAAGAGCCCACACCAACTTGGAAGAAATAGATGCGGTGTCGTTTAGACGAGTCAAAAGTCGAAGCTAGGCCCAGGCATGTTTTTTGGCAGTCATCGGTATCGTGCGTACACGCTTAAACCAGCTTTCCCGCTCATAGTCACATCGTGCCTATCCACAGTTGTTAAAAAAACAATCAAATGTCTAAAGTCAAGATCTAGGTATGTTTTTATTGGGTCCATCGTGCATTGTACGAAGTCGGTCTACGGTGATTCAGCAGGAGCAGCAGTCACTGAAACTGTGCCGTGGACTGATCAGCATGCTTCTCAGTAGGATTCTTTTGGTGTCCTTACACATCATATCCAAATTTCCCAATCGAACAAAAATGACACCACCGATGTTTTCCTGACGGTGGCGCGTTGATCAACTCTACGAAGGACTAGTAACGCATGCGTCAGTGCCAACGGCCTTACTGCACCGATGTGAAAGCAAAAACACGACTCACGTGCAGATGGAATTAGCGGTGTCCTATGCAGGTGAGTTACTGGCATGTCATTAAAGTCCGAACCCAGGAAAACTACTGTACTCACGCATACCGGCAAACCGCAGCCATCGCAATCTATATTATTGGCACAAAAAGAAGGACATTCAAGGACTTCAATCACATCAGCGGGAGTGGCGAAGATTGATGATACTAAAGCAGCAATGACGGCGAGGACGAAACGCATTGTTTATGACCCGTGTAATAGGGATAAAATAATTCTTAGGGAATGGTAGGAAGACGGCTGGCTTTTATATGTTGCACATTGTGCTTCTTGCGTACGTGGTTGTGCGTTCAAACGGATGCATATTTGGAATGCCAGCAGTTCTAGGTCTATTAGCAATTTGATGTGGAACTACTGAACATCCATGTTTTCAATCAGCTGTTGACTCGGTACCAGGAGCACTCGACTTATCTCAGAGTAAGGCTGTTTTCTGGTTCCCCCAGTGTTCTTCAAGCGTCAGATTGATCCGTCTTGCATTTAAGTGCTGTCTGTTTGTTTCGCATTTTTGGCGAATCAAAGCTTTTGGGTACGAAATGCACCTGGTTTGCCCAATAAGTAAGCCTAACAAGGCTTGGCTGCGTAAATACCCAACACCGGCGATAAATATTGCCTCAAATATTTCGAGTTTGGTCCTCTTCTTGTCTCGTCAGAACGCCCCTACAAAGCGGTTTATATGTTGTACAAAATGTGAAGAAAATATTTGAAATTTAAACTGACGTACACGCATCACCAAAAGTCCAGAAAACGGGTATCGCCTTATTAGGTTAACATCAGCTGTCGACTCAGGATCAAAAGCACTCAACATCTCGGAGTAAAAATGTATTCTTATTGAGGTGATGGCCCCTGGCGTTCTTCAAGCGTCAGACCGGTCAGTCTTGCGCTTAACTTGACCAGTGCAAACGTGTGCGATCTCATCACGGTGGAGTGGCGATGATGTCAGAGTCGCAAGTACTGTCCGTTGGCGGGCATGTCCCAAGCGAGACTCGTAACCAGTCTCTCTGAGATGTTGAGTGCTTGACGTAGTAGTAAGACTGTTCGATCTCGGAGTGTGAAGCGAAGAGTTTGAAATTCGCCACATGCCGGTTTGCCGCTTTGCATCTAGCTTCGTCTATCGCACAATCATTGAAGTTAGACCAATAATGGTTGGGTTGGGCCGAGCGTCAGCTCGGTTCGGGCTGATTGAATGACCATTATGACTGTGGAGCTACGAGGTTATCAATGATAGGAACGGATAATCAAATACGAACGTGTAAAATATTGAAGAACGGTCAATATATATGCTAAAAATTAAACTGATACTGGGTGCTGCAATGAAGGGAATCGAGAACAAGAAGGAAAGGCTTACCGCTCAGCCGGATGTGTGGTACCGGTTCCTTCCGAGCACTCTGGAGCCGTACCTTCACATGTTGCTCACGAGTATGAGCTAAGCTCCATCATCGACATCGATCTTAGCCTTCTCATCCCCGTCTTCGTTGCACCCACCGAACGCAATATACGCACCACCGATTAATGTTGTGAACTCTTTCCACGCCGCTGCTGCGCTAGCGTTACCCGAAGAACCAGTGACGATGCGAGTGCCGTCTGGCGAGAACGAGACCCAGTTAACTGAATCACCCAGGTAGTATATCCCCTAAGCACGGTATGAACAGTCTCTCAGTTCGTATAACGTCCGAATACCACAGGAAGAATATTCGGATATCGTGCAGAACGCTTTCTCAATAGCGGAGAGTTGGCAGGCGAGAATGGGAGTGCTGATACATACAGCTGTGGCGTGCTGTGTAAAATCATACCGCATACCGCCGAAGACTTGAATGAACCTCTGTACGCCCATTGCAGTTGACGAGACATCTTTGAATTCGGAATGGCCCTGTGGTTGCGCATACCAGTGAGCACTCAGACGACGAAGACTTTACTAAGCTACCTCTCCCAACTCACGGTCGGAGATCCAAGCGCATCAGCATTCGCCCTCTGTACACAACTAAGGCCCTCTCTATCGTCTGCGCAGATGACGAAGGCGTCTCAGATATCACCGATGCTTATGAAGAGGAAGAAGAGTACGATTTCTACACACGCCAATTCGATCGTCATCGAACAAGTATGGTTCGACGAGGAAGAATTTACCTATTCCCAGCCTTCCTTTGTACCGGCCAAAAAACATTCACCTCATCTCACTATCAGTCCCAAAAACACCCATGAACGGGATGTACCTCCCCTGCGCAAGCACCGACTCCGACGCCCCACGGTCGTCTTTTGATTCTTTTCGAGCAACCATTCCCGCTCCTCCTCGAGTGTGCCTATCCAAATCCTGTTGAGCGTTGTTGAGAAACAATCAAACTAAAAAGTCAAGACCTAGGTGTATTTTTATTAGGTCCATCATGTGCATATACTTACAATTTTACGATCTAAAGGCTCAGGCCCGTCTGCAAAGGACCGACAGTCACCGATGCTGATCTGCACGGTAATAGGTGTTCTTGCATGCCATATCTAACATTTCCCAATCTAACGAAAATAACGCCAACTCCACCTACGTTTTCCTGACGGCTCTACAAATCACTGATAATTCTCGTGTCAGTGCCAACGGCCATACGATACGAAAGCAGAAACGCGACTCACTGTGCAGAAAGGAAATTTCTGCCATGCAGGTCAGTCATATTATCAAATCCAGGAAAACGACTGATACTCACGCAAAGCCCCCAAGTGCAGTCTTTGCAATTTATGTCAATCCAGCAAAAGAGGGGACATCTCTGGGCGCTAGCGTCGATGGGCGTTGCAGAGATTGACGATGCAGCGACGGCGAGGACGATTGCAAAGGAGAAACGCATCGTGTGTGAGGATGTGATATGGGGTCAAATAAGCCTGAAGGGTTGGTAGGGAGACACTGACACCTTGCTTTTATATGCTGGATAATGCCCCTTATGATGTTGGGAAGAACTTATCTCCTTATTGGCTTCGAATGTCCAAGCTTTGAAGGTCTCCTGAATTTTCTTGCGTGGTTGTGCGGCATTCAACCACAAAATCTTCACAATGCCAGCAGATTGCGAAGTGGCAATTTGGTCTAGAACGATTGAAAACCCCTGCGCTGGTGAATGTTTTCCTCGAATCCTGGTACCCCCATGTATCATGATTGAAACGAGGACATCTTGATCCCAGAATATCCACCCCTCCGACCCCGTCCGAATATCTGAACCCCATCTGCGCCAGTACAGTCATCGTTCTCATGCACCACATATACTATCAAATTTAATGTTGGAATAAAATCATGTATTAAGACACCTTTGGACGAGCTTATGCAGAGCGGTTTGATGCTTGTAAAGTTACACCCGATTCTCGAGAACCTGTGCAGTCATTGTTATGCATACCACACGCTCGCCATTAAGGTTTGAATCGATGAGCCAGAGCTGGAATAGCGCTATCGCGAGATGCATGACTTCTATCACGCCCCCTTCGGATTTAAAGTCTCGCCCTCCCCGAACTTGCACTCAAAGCTTTGGAGTTTACGAATCTAGGCTTCCCCCTGACTGCATTGTCCCTGGGAGCCTCAATTCACATCAGCGAGCCTGAATTTGAGGGGAATGCATCCCTTTGGATGCGAGATGCGGGAGTCGTGCGAGGCGCTTGCTTACAGTGTATTGGGAGGAGAGATGGGGACAGGATCTGGACGAAATGAAGAAGGAATTCCGCGGCCCTCGCGTGTTGACTTCCCTTGACAGATACCATGGTGATAGGCAATTGTCATTTGTTTTTCGTTTACCACGTTGAGGACGACGAAGAGGCTAGTGAAGGACGAGGTTTCTTGTCTGTGACGTGCAGTAAACTGTATACATGCGTTCGAAGGAGCGACATGGTAATGTGCCGGAGTAGCTACTCGACACGAAAAACAGTGATATTCATGCTATCATGCAAAATACATAGTCAGATTCGTATGTCGGGGAGGACCAACCACTCGATTGGATACGATGGAATACATTCTGGAAGCTTTGAAGACAAGTGGGACGCATGTATGCACTGAAGCGCTGGGAGAGTATACTGTCGAGGACGGCGGGTATGATAATAGGGGATACTCAGCTAAGGTCTGATATCAATTTGATGAACAATCAAAATCAAAAGTCGAAGGAGGGAGCCATATACGGGACTGGGTGTGTTTTGTTGGGTCCGTTGTGCATTGTACGATCTACAAGCCCGTCTAGTCAGCAGGAGCAACAGTCACTGGCACTGCGCCGTGCACTGATCAGCACGCTCCTCAATAGTATTCATTATGTCCTTACACGTCATATCAATCCAACAAAAATTACGCCAAGTCCACCGATGGGTTCCTGACGGCGCGTTATTCAGCTCTCCAGATTACTAGTAACTCACGCGTCAGTGCCAACGGCCTTATTGCGTGAAAGTAAAAACACGACTCACGTACAGATGCCCATAAGGGGGTCCTATGCAAATAAGTCACTGGCATGTCATTAAAGTTCGAACCCATGAAAACTACTGTACTCACGCATGGCGTCGAATAACAGTCCTTGCAATCTTCGTCAGTGTAGCAAAAAATAGGACAATTACAGTCGTCAGTTGCGTCAGCGGGTATGGCGAAGATTGATGATGCTAAAGCAGCAATGACGGCGAGGATGAAACGCATTGTTTATGACTCGTGTGATATCAGGATCAGAGAAGTCTGAGGGAAATAGTAGGAAGGCGGCTGGCTTTTATGTGCCGAATATTGTTCTTTCAAATTCTTCCTGCGTACGTAGTCGTACATTCAAACAAATGCATATCTGAAATGCCAGCAGTTCTTGCCAGCTAAGGTCTATTAGCAATTTGGTGTGGAACTACTGAACATTCGTGTTTCCAATCAGCTGTCGACTCAGGATCAAAAGCACTCAACGTCTCGGAGTAAGGTTGTATTCCTGTTGAGCCGATGGACCCTGGCGTTCTTCAAGCGTCAGATCGGCCAGTCTTGCGTTTAAATTAACCAGTGCTGTCTTCGTATTTTCAATTTTTGGCAAATCAAAGCAGAAGTATGCATTTTGATAAGAAATGTGTGTGGTTTTGTCACGGTGGAGCTCTGGCATTGATGTCAGAGTCAAACCGTCCGTTGACGGGTATGTCCCAAGCTAGACTCATAAGTCCAGTCTTACTGCGTTTCTAAGATGTTAAGTGTTTGACGTCGGTCAATCTCGGAGTGATTTGGTAGGTGAAGCGAGGAGTTTGAAATTTACTACATGCCGGTCGTGCCGCTTTAGGTGAGCTTCCCGTCCTCGTTGCACCCACCGAACGCGATATACGCGTCATCAACTACATACCAACTGTCATGCTACACATTAAGTCGACTGGCTCTAATCATTGATTAATGTTGATTTTCAGACCGCAATATAAAGTATTGTCTTACTGTGCCAGGCCTCATTCAGGCTGGGTTAAGCACCACTCATACCACAAGTTCGTCCCAACATCTTCACAACCTTCAAAATCGTTCAGATCAACCGCTAGGTGTTGGATCAGTCGGCGGTCTGTAGAGTCTCTAGAAGCAATTTCACTTTCAAACACCGCAACTTTACACACCAAGCTGACTGGCATTGGGAGCTATATACTTAAGAGGTGTGTAACAATATTCATCCTCAAGCTCGTCTGAAAAAAGCGCCACGATCTCACCCTTCTCCTTCCCTCCCACTCCAGACCTGAAACCAAACTCCACAGTCGATGGTGCTGTTCTATGATATCCTCACTCACTGCTGGCGCTGACTCTCCACATATGATTCTGAGTCCGTTGGGCGGGGTGTTTGAGCGTGTGGCAAACTTCAAACTCCGCGCTTCGCCTGCTAAATACCCCGCGATCAAGTACTTGCGTATTACATAAGACTGGTTACGAGTCTAGCTTGGAACATGCCCGCCAATGGACAATGACATTAACGACATTCCACTGTGACGAGATCGCACGCGTTTCCTACCAAAATGCATACTTCTGCTTTAGTTCGCCGAAAATCGAAAATTAGAAGACAGCACGGGTTAAGTTAAATGCCAGACGGACCGATCTGAGGAATACAAAGATGTTGAGTGCTTTGGTACCGAGTCGACAGTGGCGGCTGATTTGAAAAACGAATGTTCAATAGCTCCACACCAAATTGCTAATAGACTTTAGCTGGCAAACACTGCTGGCATTGCAGATGTGCATCTGTTCGAGAGCACAACTACGTATGCAAGAACAATGTTCAGCACATAAAAGCCAGTCGTCTTCCCACTATTTCCTTCAGAATTATCTTATCACATATCACACAAGTCATAAACAATGCGTTTCATCCTCTTCGTCATCACTGCTTTAGCATCATCAATTTCTGCCATGCCCACTCACGCGTGTCCCTCTACTTGCACCACTGATGCAGAGTGCGTGGCCTGCGGTTCGACGCTATGCGTGAGTATTAGTAGTTTTCCTGGGTTTGAACTTTGATAACATGTCAGTGACTCACCCGCGTAGTACCCCGTTTATGCCTTCTGCGTAGTGAGTCGTATTTCTGCTTTCACATGAGTGCAGTATGGCCGTTGGCACTAACACATGAGTTAGTCTGGTGATTTGGAGAGTTGATCATCGCGCCGTCAGGAAAGCATCGGTGCAGTTGGCGTAATTTTGTTCGATTGGGAAATGTTAGATATGACGTGTAAGAACACAGAAAGAATCTTATCATCACTGAACGTTAACGAACAGATGAACAAATTAAATTATCATATCAAGCAATACATCACAGCTACTTTCATATCGATGGACCGGATTTCATTTTTGTCTTGCCACTTCTATTTACTTGTGGAACTGAACAAATGCCCGCCTTTTACGCCGGTACTGTTCGCGCGGAATACCCCCAGGACAGCAAAGTCTCATTCTCAAACGTCTTCGTCTTCATCTATCGTTTCACAGTGATAGTATTAGCTCATCACACGACTTAAGGTCATATTTGCATCTACTATCATGATTCAGAATGCTGCTTCCACTTGATCTTAACAAAATCTGTTCTGTGAGTTTGGAAGCACATACTGCACTATCATCACTGTTTTCAATTTTCGGCGAATCGAGTCAAGCAGAAGTATGCATTTTGGAAGCCGTTTCGTTTTGGTCTCGTCACGGTACAGGGGCGTTGATGTCACAGTCACACCTTCTCCGTTGGCAGGCGTGTCCTGAAGAAGAATTCTTAGCCTTCCTTCGCACCTGCCCAAAACATCCACCTCATCTCTCGATTCTAAATCCGTTGCATGGGGTGTTTGGGTCGAAACCAAAATTGAGATCGGTATTGGGGTCAAGGCAGGCGCCTCCTCTGCTTCCGATCATGTCTTCGCCTCTTCCTTATTATGCGTCATGCAGTTCGTCGCCATTACAAACGTGGATCAACACCCAGACCCAAACACGCGCTCAGTCCGTACAAAATGCCTCTAACACGAATGGTATACAACGCCCACCATACCCAGTATACCTCCACCCACGCCTAGGTACAGTGGCCGCTAAAACTCACGCTCATCGACGTCTTCTGAGTCGTCGGAAAGTGGGAGCTGTGAGAGCGGAGGGATTGGAAGGATTAGGAGGAAGCCGATTCCTATTGAAATGTTTTTGAGGACTTGATGCGAATGTGGGTATGGTGTTTCGATTTTCGTGTTTGGTGTCTTTGGCGTTCTCTTCTGGTTGAAGGTCTTTTTAATAGTACTTTACTCTCGTCAACGATGATGTGCCGCAGCACCCAGTTCAGTTCGTGCGCCCCATCCAACACACTTTCCACCTACCCACTCTCAGCAACCCAGTCAGTCATCGATAATGGGCGAGAACTCCTGGTCACCGCTGCTCAGCTGGATATTTCTCAAAACAGGAATACGGTTCCTCTCAGAGTAGCTGCGTCGGCTGCTGCTGTCCCGCAACTGCAAACAAAGGTCCTCCAAGAGGACCGTCCATCAGAAACCAAGGTACCTGTCGTCCCATGGGACCTGCGTTAGGGTTAGAGACTCCCCAGTTGCGCAACTGAAACAAGTACTTTAGCATTATCACGACTTTGTATTCTTACAGGTATAAGAGTAGTCGCTCCGTTATTCCACTTTGTCTCCTCCCTATGGAGAACTCGACCGTTTCTTACCGATGTAGTAAGGCTACTGACAATGGAAGAATTAACTTTGCTCATACACATCAAAATTTCCAATTTTCGTTAATCATTAACACATATTGCAACCAAACCAATACAAATACTTCAACCTCACCGTTTACAACTCTACGGAGAAGGACAAATCTTGTGCAGTCAGCCCACCCGTCTGAACGGGCTTCGCAGGCGGTCTCTCGGCTCACGACGACGACGATGACAACGATGCAAATGACAACAGCGATAACTGAGGCATCATCATAGACAGCACCTTCGATGGTGGAGACCTGAACTTCGGCGCTGCAATCGCTCAACAGATCCATATCCCGACCAAATGATGGAGAAGCAGATGGTGGTGGTAGCATGGGGTGCCTGGAATGCGCGCATTCAGTGAGGGAGGCCACTGCCCGCGGTGTGTGGCAGCATGATCAAGTAGACTCTGCATGCATAGCCAGACTGCGAGCTTGGCATTGCTGCTGTCGCTCCTCCAATCACCTTCGAGGGCTTTGCTGGGACAGGCGGTGCGAATGGCGTGCAGATCTGCGATGAAGTCACATATTCATCAAAGTGATATTGACTTCGATGACTTGTCGAAGTTCAGTGCTCGGGTGGAGGATGGCGAATTGAGAGATGGGTCCATGGACTCGCATGGTGCCGGGAAGGGATCTGTGCGAGGCAGGGTTGACAAAGCGGAGAGTGAGCCGTCGTTATCATCGTCTTGATATGCAGCTGTTGTCCGGCCAGTGTTTGGAGATGGCGCGAAAGAAGTAGCCCCCAGCATGGGATGCATGCTGGGCCTTGGGGCTTGCGGAGGTGAGACAAGTGGTGGCAGGAGTAGTGGTATTGAGAGCACAGAAGGCGCCTTGGGTGGCGGCGGGAGTCGAAAGGATGAGTGCGTTCTTGAAGATGGATGGTTGGTTGGTTGGTTCTGTAATCACAGGGTTAGGGTTCGGAATGCAGACATTCGCATTGGGTTTGTATCGCAGCAAGCTGTACTTGGATCACGATTGACATGAGCACTGTCGTCGGGCCTTTGCTCGCCCTCCTCCATTCACCGATCAGATCATGGTCAGTATGGTAATTTGCTTAGAGCACCCTTCCCAGATACATGCTCTCTGAGATGTCTTGGAAGACGTGGACGTAGTGTAACTGGGAAAATAAAAATGATTGTTTTAGATGAGTTGAAAGTCGAAGTTGGGAGCTATATACTAGGCCTAGGTGTGTTCGACAGCCATCGATCGATATCGTGTGCACATACTCATGAATGTACAGCATATAATACAAAGCGATTCTGTACTTGTCATGTACTTAGCCTGCCGGGACAATCATCTCATCTTGCCAAGAAATCAATAATTGATTCAAGAGTCATGATGTTCATGATGTGATTGCAGAACCTGGCTTGAAGCAGCTTTTTCGTTCACATATTACGTGCCTATCTAGATCTTGTCGCACGTTGTTGAAACAATCGAAGTCAAAATCGGAGTAGGGAGCTGTACGGTATACGGGACCTAGGTGTGTTTTTATTAGGTCCATCGTGCGCATATATACTTATCTTTATAATTGTATGATCTACAAGCCGGTATACGTCACACTAACAGCGTGAGGCTGTAATGTGGACTGATCTGCACGCTCCTTGATGGTATTTTTTTTGTCATTGCACGTCTTATCTTAGTCTGACATTCCCTATATTTCACGCCAACGCCAATATGCAAAGAGCTGTAAATGGGCCGATATTTTCCTGAGGTACGTTGATCGACTCTACAAATCACTAATAACTTGCGCGTCAGTGTCAACGGTCATACTGCACCGATATGCAAGCAGAAACACGACTCACTATGCACAAAAAAAAGGTCTATCGTGCAGGTGAGCCATGTTAACAAGTCCAGGAAAACTACTGATACTCACGCATTCATTATAAGTGCAGTCCATGCTGGTGCACGCTGAGTCATTCCAGCACAACCAGGGACAACTGTCTGCGCTAGTTGCGCCAGCCGCGTCAGTGGGCATAGCAGAGATTGATGATGCTAAAGCAGCAACGACGGCGAAGACAATTGCAGAGGAGAGACGCATTGTTTGTGACTCGTGTTGTATGGTGTGGGATCAGATAATTAGCAGGAAGCCGACTGGCTTTTATGCGCTGAATATTGTTCTTTGGAACTCCTCTTGCGTGACTGTGCCTTCAAACAGATCTATATGTGCAGTGCCAGCAAAGTCCATCAGCAGTCTGGCGTGGGGCTACTGGGCGTTCGCATTTCCAACAAACCGTCGGCTTGGTACCAAAAGCACTTGACATCTCGGAGTCATGATGTCTCCGTGTGAGTTAAAAATCAGGCTGATTATACGTGGTTAGGTTAAAGTACTACAGGTATGCCGAGCAAGAATCCGTCACATTCACTTGCATACTTCGTGAGACTGCATGCAGAGTTGGATGTAACAGGACTTATGTATGTCGCCGTCCTATCTTTGTCGTTCTTAAGTGTTAAGACGAAGCCTCAAAGGGACGTTCCCAAGCAGCAGATCTCAGATCTCATACTTCGGTTCGTCTTGCGTTTCCCCGCATGTATCAATACTCTTTCACTACGCAGTCTCACATTAACAAAAAGGACACCATCCCATCTGAATCAGATATCAGAGTCTGTCATGCCCTTCACACGCCTAGATCGAAGTTCATCTGGAGCTAGTGTGGGTTTTGCACGTATGTGAGAGGAACGCAGCCATCTGGTCTCTTTTTTTGATTTGGTGTAGATATTCCTTTCCTAAGGGGTCTGATGATGGTAAGTAAAAGTTCGAGGTCGCTTGTTATGTGCTTACTAGTCTCCCTTAGTCAGATCTATAATCGTTAGAGTCACGGTGCGGGCCGCTGGGATCAGTGAAACTCTGATAGAATGAAGATAATCGTTCATTGTACAGAGTGAACCCTGGATACTTGTCCCTGACTTGGCCTATTTTCACTTTTTATTGAATTGGCTGGAGACCCGCCAGCTATGGACAATTCTGACCCAGCTTCCTTTCGACTGTCGACGTGCGCAGCCAGTAAGATAAAAGCTGGAGAAGGTGTTATCAAAATGACCTTGCATCAGTCGCCAGAATGAAATATGCAACAGATTGGCAGAGCGAGCTCTTGTTCTGCATAGTTGGTCTTTTTTCATTGTTCCATGGTAGTCATAATGTTGGTATCTGTAATTCTGCCTTGCAATATCAAATTATCACGTATAACAGCAATGCCCCTTTTGTCATGCTATACAGAGCTCTCTTGCCAAGATCTGGAGACCCTGAATCATCGCATTCGTCAAAAGATATATAGACAGACGGAGGAGGGTAGCTCACCAGATGTTTACTGAAGAAACGCGAGATCACAAATCCACCGGTAGCAAACCAAAGTCCCGGATGTCCAGAGGGTCGATATGTCTGATTAAGTTCTCCTTCTGAGTCGAGGCCCATCACCTCAGGCGGAAGTTGTTCGGTGATTTCGTTGCCAAGAAGGGCTCTCGTAGTCTTCATGACGGGTTCATTTCCCGTACTGCAACATGCGTGAGAAAGACCAACGAGAAATTACCAGTCAGACCATACGCAAGGACGATAACATCTGCTGAGAGCTTGGAACCATCTTTAAACGTGATCCCATCTTTGTCGAAGTGACTGATGTCTTGGCCTTGCTTTATCTGGTTGTATAATCGCAACAATCAGCCACAGCCTTCAGACAATGAATACAAGTCCTACCTTGACTCTGCCTTCGACAATTAGCTTACCACACCCAATGTCAAGCACTGTATGGGGTTTAAAATGCCACTCGTCTCAAGAACAATTCCGAACGCACTAGTCCCTGATGCCTGGCGCCCGAACAAAAATCCTTCTAGCCCAACCTCACCACTACCGGGCGAAAGTTCCCAAGTTAAGTTGAATCCGACCTTGCGCAAACCGTCGTGGAGTTCCTTGTCCAACATCTTCACGTGTTGGATCCCACCTGATTTTATCAGCTGCAGAAGGAAGGCCAATGGCATTGAATTATTGCGGAAATCCAGTTCCTCGATAGGGGTACCATCAGGGAAAGGCAAGTTGAAGTGTGTTTGTTCTGCAGCACTGGAGGATATAATGCATGTAGCGCTTCTTTGAACCATTGTTACCTTTTCTTCCTGATATAATCATGGCCTTAATATTGTTCAATCCATACACGCACCTCAGCGGCATCATGCGCTACAAAATCTTGACATATGTCTCCACCAGCATTTCCCTAACGCCCTCGTGAGTGCGTGCGCATGTATGAAATTGAGACATAGAACTTACCGCACCCACAACGACAACGCGTTTGCCCCGGAATTGCTCTGCATTTGTATGGAAGTCGGAATGATACAAGGCTCCCTGAAATTCATCCATTCCATTCCAAGTAGGGATACGAGGGCTTCCGCTTCCTGTGGCAAGCACCAGGTGCTTCGGGTTAAGGAATACTTTCCGATCTCCACGCTGGACCTCCACAGTCCATCTTGCGGATGATGAATCGTACACTGGAGTTGATGCTATGGTACTCGAGAGCCAGATACACAATTCCTGGTTCACAGCATATGAATCCAGGAAATTGGCAAGTTTCCCCTTCGGAATGTACTTGGGGAAGGTTGTCCTAGCATTGCTTAGATACGCAATACCTTTGGACCGTGGAAAGCACATACGGATAGGGACTGTAAAGCACTGCGTATAGATTTAACCCAAAGCCTCTTGTAAAAAGATGATAAGACGTACTGGAGCTTTGATATGCGGGAGTATGCAGGGTAAGGTTCGGGTACCTGTGATTCGTATCTATAATGAAGAACGACATATTATCCCTGTGTTTGCACATACCGGTGTCGCCAAGAGTCTCCGACATGCGAATTTTTCTCAATCACGAGCGCACGGATACCCAACCTACGCAGCCGCGCTGCAGACGTAAGGCCGGCTTGTCCACCACCAACTTTTATACTCATCAAGTCATCATAGTTAATGAGAGAAACTGCACTGCACCGATCAAAACAGTGGGGTCCGCCTCTATAGCACGGAATTTTGCGTCAACATCCTCCTCCCAGGTCATTTTGCGACCCTCATATAGGCCATGTTGATTTGCGGAAGACTCCTCGTGCCCGACAAGTTCCTGCATGTTTGTGAAAAAAGTTAAGGCCTTCCACTTCCCATCGGCATCTTGTGTCAGACGGAAGAAACCTCGTCCGAATGCAGCCGGTTTCGTAATGGTAAATGTGAAAGCACCTTGTACTCCCTCAATGCCTTGCGGACCTAGCAGTTTGAATGGTGAAGGCGCATTGGCGGTCTGATCGTCCAGCTCGAAGTCACGAAGACCAGAATGCTCAAGTCGCGGCTTTCCATCAACCACCTCCGAGAGAAATCCGTGTATTTTTTCCGAACCTGATAGCGTCCTAAAATTCCAAGAAAAACATAGAAGATCTAAGAGAGAGAACACTCGTGAGTACGCCTTAGTTTCTTGGACAAGCACCGACCTCTGAACCACCCATCCGAAAGGAAATGGCTCACAAATGAAGTAGAATCTCCGGTGGACGACGCAACCTCTAGGCTTTTGAGCCAGTTAGCAGAGATCGCATAAAGGTCCCCTGAAATCATGTCGGTACAGCAGGAGATAGTGAACGTGAATATAGTCAAGTGTGGAGATATAATGAAACCGGTGTCCTTAAAGCTCGGCCTGGAAATGACCAAGATAACTCTCAACTAGCGTCGCGTGATAGTACATGAGCAACAGAAGGCTGCGGTGTGAACAATTCATCAGTTATCAGTTGGTCCGCCGATAGATTACCCACTTGACTAGTGCTTTCCCACCAATTGATAACTCGACTATGGTGCTTTATTTAGTTGGTTCAGGTGTCGCAAGGAATTCTGTATCATGGTTTTCCCGACGTGACAGAGTTTCAACCTAGTGAGTAAGCCTGACTCATATTCCCTACTTTGCTATTTTCTTAGAGAACGCATGGTAAGGGGGCTCTAACTTGGTCACAGGTGAGTTGGCTATTGGCTGATGAAGATGTAGAGTAAGCTCCGATTAAGACGAATTGTGATGACACTGCTCGTACCAACCACTCCTAGCATTGGTAGTCAAATCCGGTATCGAAGGATGGTTGAAGGGTCATGATTTTGAAAATTGAAAGGAAATCCATTTCATGATATATCAGAATGGATGATATTCCGGTATGGCCTGGGAGCTGAAAGTTCATCATCAGAAGGCGCTAATTGTGGCACATTCAAAGACAGAGATTTATCCCGGGGAGACTCGGAGTCGGAGGTACTGGTAAATGGTACGGTTGCCGGTAAGCGTGACTGAGGGAGTCAGTCAAAGTTGTGTTTGCGCCCACCTCCATAATCCGAGAAAACATACTGTTGGGAGCTTAGCGCATTTACATAATATTTAATGTCCAACTTGAAGATGATCATGATGTCCTTGTCCTTGAAAATCACGCTGAGTTAAGTGTGATTTGTAACATGTGACATGCGACAGTGATAATATTAAATTATATAATTTCTGTCTCCATCCTGACGGTCCACTCAACTTGCATCGTCTATCCATAGGCCTACTCTGCATGCCTACATGGACAATCTTCTCTCAGAATGAGAAACAATATACCCATCCAATGCAGATGAATGTATTTCGGGTCATGAAAACTGCCTACCACATGTTGTACCCATCAGAGGAGCCCTCCACAATCGACGATATATCATCACAACCCTTGACAATCAAATATGCATTCTCAGAAGAAAACACAGGACCCCCAGGCCTATCGAGCCTTGTCATATGTGTAAATCGCTTTTCTGTCATATTTTGTGACATGCAGATCCAAGATAATTGGCGTAATGTTTGCATTCCCATCCCTAGTGAGCTCACGCCGGTCATCATGGACATATATGAGTTTGCTCTGGCGAGGTCCGATGTATGCTCTCGCCAGTGGGACACAATGACGGAGAGTTACTTTGCACGCAGGATATGGAAACAGCTGCAAGTGGAGGTAAGTATTGATTTGTGTTCTTACGTTATTATGATGCGAATTGACTGCGGTAGAGATATCACCAGCGTGTTTCACAGCAACAGCCTCCTGGTGGCACAGACACTAGATTACCACCAGCCTTCTGGAAGTGCTCTATATGTGCCTCCGATCTTATCCGCTGCAACAGCTGTCAGGTTGCATCGTGCGAGTCGCGTGATTGCCGTGGATCTTCCGAACCCCCACTCGCACGGTGCATCACTCATACAGAGGAAGTGCTATGTCTCCCATGCCTCGAGCATCAGGATTCTAAGCGGATGGAACAGTGTCTAGGGTGCAACTCCTGGTGCTGCGCGAAAGATCAGCTATCATGTACTGGTCGTCCTGTTGGCATCGAGTCCAATTCTTTCTTACGGGGACACCAGCCCACACTCCGTCTTATGGTCGCCTACGCCAGTCATGACCGCGTTCACCCTCCCAAGCCTAAGTCTTGTTTAGAATGCGAACTACCCGGCTGGCGGACCTGCTCCAACCGTACATGTTGGTCTGTTCAGATCTGCCCGGAATGCGCGAGCTGTGGCGTGACGTGTTTGTGCAAAAGAGTGTGGGCTTGCGATCTCTGTGCTGAATGGGGAGGCATCATCATCCGATGCCCGCGCTGCGACCGGCCATTTTGCATCACTTGCTACTACATTGACCAGTGCAAGACGTGTCGCCGCGTGAGCCTGTGCTATGATTGCGCCGAAGAAGCGCCAGATGTAGACGAGGTAGTGCCTGCTGAAGTCGCCTCGTCATGTGCCGGCTGTGTGGGAGGTGTGCGAAGGCGTAGGATTTATTCATGGGAATGGAGGTAAAATAACTCAGACTCAGACCGAGGGGTCCAGGCTCGTAAACTGAGTCGGAAGCCAGGAAGGAGACCCGCCAAACACTTGTGAATAGGAGCACTGATATTTCTTTAGGGTTCCGACTGTATGCTGCCCATAGTCACGTAGTGATGTAAGTTTGTGACGTATACTACAAATAAAACAGCGCTAGCAGTGTCCTCAGTTCCCTTCCCATCGCGTGGAAGTTCAACACAGAACGAGTCCGAGAAAAACAGTGTACCATGACACGGTCCTCGTACTGTTTTTGGCATGAGCATAGAGCAGGAGCATCACTATCAAATTTGACACCAACCACCCGGAACGGCACACACAATACAATAACGGGCCTTGCACCATCCATTCACTTCGCTTTCAAGTAAGGTGACTTGAAAATTTTCAATGGCTATCGTGTGCACATACACTTTCAATCTACAGGTTCAAGCTACGGCGATTCTGCCCTCATCATATGCATATGGCCTACTTGGACAATAATGAATAAAATCAAGAACTGATTCAAGATACTTACGATGTGACTGGAAAAATAGCTTGGAACAATTTTCCCGCTTGCACGGTGTTTATCTAGACCGTCGAGCGTTGTTGAGAAACAAATTGAAAGTAGAAAGCAGAAGGAGGGAGCTATAGGTGTGTTTTCGATTTTGACGTTCACAATCATCAGTAAGGGTCGCCGCGCGAGAAAGACCATGATCAGGCGCTGAAAATTCTACCACGTGTTGGGCCTATTCAAGAGCTCTCCGGCCGAGCAAAGAGAACTTGAATAGGTACAGCTTCGTAGTGGCCAATGGAAAGTACGTATCTATGTACCCCGCCTGCATCAACTGCAAGGGCGCAATTTCCTGCCTATCTGACAGAACCAGGACTCCACGCTATATTGAGTTTGCTCCCTGTTGCGACTAGTCGCCCAGTCCAAGCTCTGCGATTGATCCTCCACAGATTCAATCACTCATCAATCGAAGAAGCTTCCTGGCAAACGGCCTACCCACCACTGCGCCTCCCTGCCCACGAACTTGGGAAGTTCATCAACCCGTTTCTGGGTGGGACGCTGATGATAATTATCAGGTCGGTCGTCGGAGATGTACAACACGTTAACGAATCCTTCGCTCATGCATTTCGCTGGAACTATCTGTCTGGGAGGTAGAATTGCCGAACCCGTACCCATCGAAGAAATTCTGAAGTATCTTTTGAAGCTGTATAGGGGGTCCACGTGGACGTTGCTGCTGTTCGATTCCGGGCTTGATTAGGGAAATTTAAATAGTCAGCTGTTCGGCTTGCGTGGTTGACAGTGGGCTTGAAGGAAAGAAAATCCAAAATCCGGAACAGTTGATACACATATTTCCAATAAGTCACATGTAATCCAGCACGAGTGAATACCGGCCTCGACAGAATCCAACGGAACAAGTGGTTCACGTGTCCCTACCAGCTACGGATGGTGTCCGTTTATTCCTCGGCGGTATATCATCAGGCGCATCACCACGAACATCGAACTTCCGACGAGGGAGATGAGCTAAATGCAAATGTTAGCACAAGGCTTGTGCAAGTGCAGGAACAATGTGAAATACTCACCCCACTGAAGAGCGACGGTATCCACCACCTATATTGAGAACCGAGCAAAGCGCCTGATATTGGGCCGCCTGAAAACATTAGTTCGATAGTGGATACAGACCGGAAAGTAACTACTTACTGAGTAATCCACTAAAAGCTGATCATTCGCGCATTGTCAAGAGTTCCGAGACAGTGTTAGATATTACATACAAATGATGGCAAAACATATGCCCATTCGCGCTCTGCATATGAGGAGGGTCAACATCACCAGAATGCAAATGTGGGGGGAGCCAACCCTAGCTCAGACAAATCGGGCGTGAATTCAGTCACTAATGGGACTATCAGCGCGCTGCCTTGGAAAGTCAGTGCCAGGAATTACACGAGCTGCAGTGTGATACATACAGACACCAGAAAAGTAGCCGTATGCAAGTCCTAACACAACCACACTGGCCACGTCACTCAGAGCTATCATGGACATTATAATGGCACTGCATGCGACAGCGCATGCAATCGTGAAGTTCAACACCCCTGTATACGTTGCAATCATTCCTGCCGTGCAGCGGCCGGTGACACAAGCAGCATTCGTGATCACAAACTAAATCAGGTTAAGAGTCGACGACGGAGGATAAAATATCGAACGTACGGAGTAGAACGAAAAATGTACATCGATCCCATGCTTGATAGAATCCAGCTGTAAGTAGAATATGGGGAAGTAATAGCTGGTCTGACACAGCAGGAACCTAGGCGTAATCAGCTCCAAAGACTTTGAGTTGGTTTATATGGATGCCAAAGAGAACCTACCCAACGGTCATGAGGATGAAGAGAACCTCGCGAGAGCATTTTCGCGCCATTGCGGTATAACTGACACTCGGTACAGGCAGTTCTCTTGTGCGCATGAACAAACAGGCGATCAATAACAGAGCACTGACAAAGCCCGCACTAGCGCGAACCCCTCTTGCAAAGCCAACAGTACCATTCAAAAGGTGATTGAGCATGATCGGATGAATCATGGAACCAAGTGGTGTGCCGGATGTGACGAGAGACATAACCAGCGTGCGTCTTCTGGAGAAGTGCTGAGAGACGATCGCCAAGGAGGGACCATACATTATGCCTATCCCAATCCCAGAAAGGACACCTTGAACCATGAAGATCTAGTCACCACATATAGGTAGCCTTCCTACAGTAGTTACCGTGGCTGCTCACCATGTAAAACTGACCAGGCTTAGCAAAGGATAACGCAAACAAGGACAGTGATTGGAGCAACGACCCCACGATCACCAAATGATAGCTAATGGTAATCAGCGTGATAAACAACCGACTATGAATGTTATGGAAAGTTGAAACTTACAACCACCCTCTGTCGTACAGCGGACCTGAGATCAACGTGACATTGTCTGCGAGGAACGAGACCAGTGCACCAATCCATCTGACACTGACTGAGACCAAAATTTGCAGAGCAAAAGCATATTCACTTACGATATTGTAGATGGTGGATAGTTGGTCAGATAAATTCGTGTGTAATAATCTTACGAGGTCGTGTATCACCTTTAGATATATATAATCGTGCGACTGCTGCATACCTTGATAAACTCCAAAAGACGATATATATCTGCTCAAGTGCTATTGACTGATATATCTCGAACGAACGGAGAGAACCAACCCGAAACAACAAAATTGCATGAGGAAACTAGACATCGTCGTGATTTTTAGACACACAACATACGGGTATCATTTGAGACGTGGCTTACCACCCAAAAACAGTCCCCCAGGCCTGAAACCCGCCATCCGGAGGGCCTGATTGTGAACAAGCTGTTTGGGAATTAGATGACGGTATAGGTCCTAGCTCTTCCGGATCATTTAATTTCTTGTTCGTTGTGAACGTATTGTGGGTTGCGGACTTCATTGACATGGAAGCAAAAGGGAGTTAAGACGCTATGCACCAGCAAATGTTGGGCTTACGGATTATAAGACCAATGTTGGATCGCCTCTGAGTCTCACACTAAGTGGCACCCTGAGCCAGGACCCCAGACACTACCATCAGAGGAATCGTGAACCGAAGATATTGTCATATATAGGAAAGGTTTTCTTTATAAAGTCATATCAAGCCATGTATAACTAGGCAAGTGCATAGGTAAACCCCCGGGTATTTGAGCACATACCCAGACCCAGACCCAGCAATATACCTGCACAAAGGGTATGGGTTTGATACTAGTAGCAGGTAGAAGAGATAGACACCCTGGGTACTACTTGTCAAGGGTATACCCATGGGTTTCACATTAAAACACCTAGGACAGTACAAAAAAAATTACAGTAACCTTCTAGTCTAGTTCAATAGCATCCCAGCCATCTGTCATTGCAACATCATCACCTTCATCAGTAAACTACAACTTTTCCCACAGGAAGTACAAAATTTGTGTTCCTGTCCAGCCAGCCACAGACTCCACAGTTCTGCCAACATCCCAGTGCACTCAAACCACAAGGTCTCCAGCTGCTCACAGTTCTATATGGCCTGCAGGACTTTGCACATTTCAATTTACTAGTATTATATCCTAGTGTTAAGAACCATGTTGCTCAAGGGAGAGAGAGACTGACTCAGAGGGGCTTGGCCTCAGCTCGTACGCTGTGCCCCTTACCCGAGTATGTGCCCTTCATTTTGTATGAGGTCTGATGATGGTCTGAGGAAGTCCAGAGGACTTCCAGAGGCTGGCTACTCTGCTGGAGAGTGCTAGAGGACTTCCGGAGGAGTGCAGGAAACGTCCGGAGGAGCACAGGAGAGTTCCGGAGGAACGCAGGAAGTGCTCAGGAGAGTTCCCACTGCAAGGTAATACTTCTACAGGAAACAGGATGGAGGGATAGGAGGTCCGAAGGTCTGGAGGACTGGAGGACTGGAGGACAAGAGGACAGGAGGACAGGAGGACAGGAGGACAAGAGGACAGGAGGACAGGAGGACAGGAGGACAGGAGGACAGGAGGGCAGGAGGACAGGAGGACAGTATGTCTGAAGGTACAGAGGGCAGGGTGTCCAAAGGACAGGAGGATAGGATGTCCAAGGGTTAGGAGGACAGAATGTCCGAAGGAACAGGAGGTCCGGAGGTCCAGAAGGAATAGGGGCTACATCGGACGAAGTCCGATATAGAAACAAACAGAGGTAGACTACCCTAAGGTAGAGTCAGAGAGACAGGGATTGGACCTAAGTCCGGAAAGAGGGAAAGTACCAGAAAGGCAGAGCTCCGGCCTAGGGAATCAATTCCTAGGCCTGATGGGTAGGACAGACTTAGGTGGACCAAAGTCCGAGAGAGGATTGGGCAAGTCTAAGTTGATATTCAAACTAGGGAACTACAGGAGTATCTACAGGGGTTATATACTGAACAATATCTGAGGGGATCAGTAAGCAAAGGAGCAAGGCTATGTACAAGCATGTGGAAACACATTAGTAAGTAAGATGGAACATAAGTAAATGAACTCGGAGATGAAGACTCATACAAGGATCAATAAGCAAGACAGAAGAAGAGGTAACCGAAAGCTGGAAAGGTAGAGATGCCTAAATGGGGATAGGTGCAGGATCTCGGACAGAGGGTGGGAATAGGTCCAGCATTAATATCCGGAGGTCCGGAGATCTGGGG